GACCAGCCTGACCAACATGGTGAATCCCTGTCTTTAAAAAAATAATAATAAAAACAAATAAATAAATAAAAAAATGAAGAGCCCAAATCTATGAAATTGAAATGTATTGTCTTACAGGTATAGACAATGTTTAGAATACAAACTTTTTGTTTATTGATTCATTTAGTTTTTCAATAAACATTTGTTGGATGTCAATTGTCTGTTAGGTATTCTGCAAGATGGAGAAAGTGGAGAAGAGAAAGAAGCAGAAAGAAACCAGAAATGGTCCTTGCTGCTGGGAGTTTATACCAGAGTGGGATGCTAAGCTTTCTGCAAATAATCATGATACTGACTACGTGTAATATGCAATTACTAAATATAAAAAGTAATCTGAGGTAATTGAACACAATTTTACAAAAGTGTATTCAAATATTAAAAAGAGAATTGTGGTCAGGGAAGGCTTCCTGGGGTAGTAATCATTGAAACTGAAGGATGATTGACAGTCAAAAAAAAAAAAAAAAAAAAAGAAAAAAAAAAAAAAACCACAGGAAAATGAGGTGGAGTTGTTTCCTTGGAAGAGCAAACAGCTTTTGCAAGGACGCGATAATGCATTGGGGATTGTTTAAGGTACAAGATACCGAGACAGGAAGATTAAACATGAAGCTGAACTTGGAGGCCCCATAGGCTATGCAAAAATGAAGGTATATCCATGTAAAGGGAATCATAACTTCCACTAATAAAGCCTTTGTTTACTATTGAAATTGTCAGAGAGGCGTTGGAACCACAGTGACTCCATCTTGAATAAGGGCTAAGTGAAAAAGCTGAGACCTACTGGGCTGCATTCCCAGGAGGCTAGGGATAATTAGTCACAAGATGAGATAGAAATTTGGCACAAGAGACAGGTAACAAAGACCCTGCTGACAAAATAGGATGAGGTAGAGAAGCTGGCTGAACCCCACCAAAACCAAGATGGTGATGAAAGGGACCTCTGGTTGTCCTTCCTGCTTATTGTACGCTAATTATAATGCATTAGCATGCTAAAAGATACCCCCATCGACTTCATGATAGTTCGCAAATGCCATGACAATGTCCAGAAGTTCCCATATTGTCTAAAAAGTGGAGGAACCTTCAGTTCTGGGAAATTCGTGCCCTTTTTCCAGAAAGCTCATGAATAATTCACCCCTTGTTTAACATATAATCAAGAAATAACTATAAGTATGTTCATTTGAACAGCCCATACCACTGCTCTGTCTATGGAGAAGACAATGTTTTGTTTCTTTACTTCTCTACTTTCATTTTACTCTCTGGACTTGTGCCCAATTCTTTCTTGCATAAGATCCAAGAACCCTCTCTTGGGGTATGGATCAGGACCCCTTTCTGGTAACAAACGTCTAGGCCAAGCTGAAAAGAGTAGTGTCTTCCATGGACCTGGTATCCAGTACTAAGGCATTGGTACCATGTCCCTGAACATGAAGTAAAGGTTATGATAAGCTCTTCTTTGTTTATTCTTTTTTTCATAAATCACACAGAAAAGTGAATTATTGATCCTCTTTGAAGCTTATGATACAGTGGAGAAAGTAACTCCTATGTAAATATCTCTGGTCTACAGAACAAAGGTTGCAAATGTCATGGGCAAAGAGAGGGAAAAGTTGCTAAATGCTGAAGCAGCTGGGGTGGGGGTGGAAGGCAGATGTGAGCTAGGGATACGTTCCTGGAAGAAGCACTAGTCCAGTTAGGTCTTAAAGGATACTAGAATACTAGAATATTCCGAGGTGGGAGAGAGTGGCTTTCTAGTCTGCCATAGTAAAGCCTGGCCTATAGAGGATGCCGTGAAAGAGAATAGCTATAAAGGGAAACTTCATGAATTTGTAAACAGAAACTGATTGCAAATTAGAAAGTTTCTTTGAAGATGGTAATAAGTAGGGATTATTCCTGAAAGAGGGATCATCACTTGGGGAGGACATAGGGAAACACATATACATGGTAGAGTTGCAGAAATGAGACTCTTTCTGAGAGAGTTCACTTGAAACGAGTTGACTGAGATTTGCATATGGAAATAGGCAGCTTTGGTACAATCAAAATAATTAAAAGACTTCCTCTCTCAGCTGGGGTGTTTTCATCTCCATGTTCAACTGTTGGGGGAAGGAAGTGTCTTTCATCAATCAGTTTTGGGGCACCCTAAGAAGTGAAGAATGCAAAGAGGCAGGGATGGAAGTGGTGCATTTCACAATTCTCTTCCCAAAGTGCTCACACCCTACCACGTTATTCACCCTAAGAAAGAAGCACCTGAGATATCCTCATATAAACTAAGAGCAACCACCTTTGTTGCCTCTATGGCTCCCAAGATAACATCTTTCAGTGGTTGTGACAAAGGCTGGTGAGGAAAGAGAATCTGGGAATCTGAATGCTGGTTTTCATGCGTCTCATGTGTTAACCGCCTCTTTCAAGTTGTACACCCTGCCTTTCTTATTGGTTTGCTCCCTGTGGTTTTGAGAAACCTCTGCTTATTCTTCTTCTGATGCTATTGTGAATGTTTAGCATTTTGATTTGCTGATCACATTCTTCCTTGTCACAGTGGTCAATATGGTTGTCTCTATGATTCTGGTTTTGCTGTGCATGCCCTGAGAGGTACATATGAGTGCCATAAATGAGGCTCTTTTCCTCCCTTCAGAACTTTTCTATTTGGAGCAGTAGAAAGTCTGTTTCCTGAATTCATCCCTTGTTTCTTTCTTTCTGTCTCACATGTTTAGCCTTTCATTTTCTCAATAGCTTTTGAAATATTTATGATGCCTGGAACCTGTTTGTTAGTACTTGCTTCATGAACATTCAAAAAGTGCAGTCATGCTGTGGTAACAGAAATGTGGGGAAAGGTGTCCAAGTTGCGGTTACCAATTTGTGCTCTACAGTTCTTCAGCATTTTAGTTTACCAGCCACCCACTGTCACCTTTCATTTTTTCAGGTTCACTGTAGCTTTTCCATGATGCAACATTTTGCTGATGTATAGCATCTAAAAGATTACAGAAAAATTAAATGTATTTCCTCAAAAAAAATTAAAAAAAAAAAACAGGGGTCTTGCTCTCTTGGGAAATACAGACATGGTAAGAATGAGACAGATCCTTTTTGTTTGAAGTGAGTTCTCTTCTGGGATCACTTTACTTGTTCCATCTGCAATTGCTTCTTTTTGCTAAATGCCTCACGATTTGATCAGAAACAGCCTGCTTTTGATTCAACTGGAAAATGTGACTGCTTTTGTGCTTAACATTTAGTTTTGTGTTTTTCTTCTTGTAGTCTCACATTGGGTTTCATTCATCCATTCATTTAACATTTAAGGAACACCCACAGGGGGCCTGGCACCACTCTAGGTTCTGGAAGAAATGGGAAGAAGAGGGTCCTGTCCAACGCAGAGGAGACTCATCTCCTATAGTGAGTTGTTTGGGAAGCACTTATTCTTTTTTGGCATCCTGGATAATGAAGACTATTGAAAGGGGAAGTTCCCTTTAACTTCAAAGGGTGTTTTGTGCATATATGAGGCTCCCTGAGGAGCCAAAGAGAAATAGAGCGAGGATTAGAGTGAGAGTGGGTGAAGCTGAATGTAACAGAGAAAAAGTCGGATGTTAAAAATATCTCAACAGGAATAAACAAACAGCATCAGCTGTGTCTTATTATGTTGTAGTGAAGACTGTAGAGGGCAGGGGGTGAAAAAGAAATGAAATAAACACTGATTAATATTTGGGAGGCACAGGGGATTCATCATCTAAATAAAAACAAAGGAATTATCTCTGTGGTGCTGGTTTTGGGACTAGCCAGAAATAGGAGAGCAAGATGAAATCTCCCGATGTATTGATGGCTGTCAGCAAATCGGTTCCAAAAGCAGCAATATGAATTTTATAAACCAACGAAGTATCACATAACAAATTATTTCTTTATTGCTCTAAGAAGCAGCTTACCATTGCATCCAATTGTTACAAAGAGGCATTGCATTAGTCAAGAAAATAAAGGATTTTTACAAATCGACCATGATAGGTTTTTTTAATAAAATAAAATATTGTTGTAATGGAACAAATGAAACATAAATAGACAAATGCTAGAATACAAAGTAATTTGCTTAGGGTGTAAATATTTTTATGTACTAATAGAAAAGTACATACTTTGAGAGTTTAAAATTAGTGCAAATGTATCTGAGTAGGTAAGCCGTAATGTTAGAGAAAGTTTCTATTTCTTCACATAACCCATAATCTGTTGTCAACAGTTACCAAATTGCACTTCAGTATTTTAACTTTTATGAGGCTCTGTGACCTGTCATTTGAATGTGACTGTCACATTTGCTTTCATACCTGAAAAAGACACATTATCTGCTAGTAACCTGGCTTCTAAAGAAAGTTCTGACTTATGTAGAGTTATACATATTCTTTATATTTTGCTAAGGATTGGGTTTTCGTTTTATTGTGGCAATGTCAATATATTTTGGTAATTTGAAGAAAGGATAATTAGGAACTGATGCAGAAGCAAAACCAATACATATAGAATATTATTAATTTATAAAAAGAGAAGAATGGAGAACTGAGAGTTAACCCAATAAACAAGCACATAATTTTGCTAAGCCTCAATGCTCCCACAACTGCGGATATTTAACCATATACAGTTTTACCTCCACAAACCATAGCAATTATAATGAATATATTTGAAATCATCCAAATTTGGGAGACAGTCAAGTACATGCAGACAGTCTAATTTTGATATTCCGAAGACTCCACTCTAAAGTTATAAATCTACTCATTTCAAGGAAGTAAAAAAATATTGCAAGTGTTGTATCCTCCCAAAATGTAACAAGTACATGTGGATAAAAATCAAAACACATTTTTTACTTCTATGTTAATATTAAACATTTTCAAGTATAGGAATCTTTTTTTGCTCAGTGCACAAATTCCAGAAAGCAAAAATGTTCAATCTATCCAATGTATCCTAGTTTCCTATAACAAATTATCACAAAATTCATGGCTTAAAGCAACACATTTATTCTCTTACACTAGTTAAAAATCATTATCACTAGGCAGAGGAATTGAGGTGTCAACAGGACCAAGCTCCTTCCTGAGGCTCCAGGGAAGAATCTATTCCTTGCCTCTTCTAGCTTTGGATGGGTGCCAGCATTCCTTGGCTGGAAACCAGATGCCACAACACTTCAATCTTCAAGGCTAGCCTCTTCACATCTCTCTCTTCTTCATCTTCTTGTCACCTTCTCCTCTGTGTTTATGTGTGTCAATATCCCTTTGCCTCCATATTGTAAAGATGAGTATGGTTGCATTTTTCAGGAAAGTCTTCTCATCTCAAGATCCTAAATCACATCTGCAAAGACCCCTTTTGTTCATATAAGTTAACATTTAAAAGGAGCAAGCACATTCAGACTTAGATAGCTCTTGATGGGGCATTTATTAGCCTACCATAGATTTATGTAAACAATTGAAAAATTTGATCATTGAAACCTGAACAGAAGGGCCCAGATTTATGTAATAATTAAAAATCCTTCAATAAATATTTACTTGACAACAGCTAGCATGGTAGGCAGAAAGGATAATTGCAAATGAGACAGGTATGATTCCTGTTCTCACAGAGCTTACCTGGTGGGTGTTGATAGCTTCCAGTTTTCCATGAACTAGATGAACAGACATCTTAAGAGACTGGATGATAGTTGCTAAACTGGAAGTTTGAAAACCAATGAGAAGGTTGGCAATTGCTTTTGTGAGAAACAGAGTTAAAAGAGAAAAGATTATGGACAAGTAGGATTTGGGGTATTCTTTGAAGATCCAGATGCGTAGCTATTAGTGTTCTTTATCCTGTATTTTCCCAGAGTTCTTCTCCCTCCGAGCCCATGGCAGAATTTCGCTTCTTATTCCCCATGTAACTGTTTCTAGACAATGAATTAATTGAGCGGCTAAGTGCCACTTCTGGAAAGAAGATTTAAATGTCCAGTGAAAACCCTCCAAACCTCCCCTCTCCTGTCACAACAACTGACAAATGCTCCAAACAGTGGCAGCTGTGCCTTAAGTTTGACATGGAAAAGAACCCACACCAATGAACATAAAGCGTGAAGAAGAAATACACCTTTGCTTTAAGCTATAGATAGTTCAGAGGTATTATTGCAGTCTAACCAGCAGCTTATGGTGACATTCATTAGATGAGCTGTTTGATTCTTTTTGTCCATGCTCAGGAGCAGAAGCGAAATAACACAGAATGTAGGTAGCTCATATCATTCCAGTGGTTATGTGCCTGAGCAGGGAGGGCAGTGGGGGTACACAAAGAGAAGACATACTTAGTTACAAAGCTTATAGCTCTAGCATTTGGTGTGGTGGTTGTTGTTGTATCCAGTTGCTTTAGTTAACAACAACAACAAAAAAATTAATGAATGTGGCATGACACTAAAGGTTTAAAGACCATGAAAATAAAACATCATCTCCTCTGATCTTCATATTAACAATTTGATCCAATAAAATGTTTCCATTTTTGGCTGGATGGGGAGGGTCACTTCTGTAATCTCAGCACTTTGGAAGTCTGAGGCTTGCAGATCACAAGGTCAGGAGTTGGACACCAGCATAGCCAATATGGTGAAACCCCATCTCTACTAAAAATACAAAAATTAACTGGGTGTGGTAGCACATGCCTGTAATCCCAGCTACTCAGGAGGCTGAGGCAAAAAATAGCTTGAACTAGGGAGGTGGAAGTGGCAGTGAGCTGAGATTGTGCCACTGCACTCCAGCCTGGGTGACAGAGCGAGACTCCATCTCAAAAAAATAAATAAAAATAAAAGTTTCTATTTTTATCGAAGAGTAATTTGTTGTATTTTGATAGAAGATAAATTTTCAAAAATTTAATTATTTAGTCAACAAAGCACCTACTTATTTTTAGCTACTGTGCGAGCTTCTAGGTATGGTACCATGGTGCCCAGAAGAGTCAGCAGTAAGTGAGACAAGCTTAGTATAAGATCTCGTGGAGCGTATAGAAAAATTGAAACAAAATATTGTTCTGAGTCCTAGACAAAACTTTTTTTTTAATTTTAGAATCTTTTTTTTTTTTTTTTTTTTTTTACCATGACATGTGTCTTATTAATTACTAAAGACTCTAATTCAACTGCTAGGAATAAGAGGTTTTAGAATGCCTTATGAAACAACCCCAACATCATTTTATTGGATTTATTCGGTACTACATAAAATACATAAAATAGTCATGAAACAATAACAAAAGGTGACTGTTTTATTAGTATGGAGATAAACATTACAAGTCTATAGGGAGAGTAAATTGCAAGTATACAAGTCTGTAATCCCAGTACTTTGGGAGGCCAAGGCGGGCGGATCACAAGGTCAAGCGATTGAGACCATCCTGGCCAACATGGTGAAACCCCGTCTCTACTAAAAATATTAAAAAATTTAGCTGGACGTGGTAGTGTGCACCTGTAGTCCCAGCTACCCAGGATGCTGAGGCAGGAGAATTGCTGGAACCCAGGAGGCAGAGGTTGCAGTGATCCAAGATTGTGCCACTGCACTCCAGCCTGGCACCTGGCAAAACAGTGAGACACTGTCTCAAAAAAAAAAAAAAAAAAAAATCAAGTATAGGAGTTATAGAAAAACCTGTAGCTTCTACTTTTGCACTGAATTCTGATATCTGGTGGTTTCTGTAAGTCTCTAAACTCACTGACAGTAGAGATAAATAGCTATTATGTAAGTCCTTGGGTTATTTAAAGGTAGACACTGTTAGTCTAGGCTGCTAAATTTCAATGTCTTTCTCCTATAAGTATCCCTCTCATTGTCTCTCATAGAAGCCAAATGAAAAGGAGGAAAAATGATTTTCCTTCCACACTTCTAAGTTCGTGACTGAGGCCCCTATAACAAAAGACAAAATAACAAGTGAAAAGCATAGTTTATTTAATATAAGGTTTACATAATGGGAAGCTCCAAAACAATGAAGACCCAAAGAAACAGCTAAACCTGCGTATTTTTTTAACAATAGGTTTGATGAAGAGTGAACAGTAGTGAATAAACACTATAGGACAGAACATAAACTAAGTGTATTATACTGGGGGAAACTTCGCAAGGCCAGTTTGTTCAATTTCCTCTGTGTTCTTTGGTCTTTGGAGCTAAGGGTGCTACAGTTTTTCTGAGCATAGTAAGGGCACCTCTCACATCTGGGTCTCGTGACCTGCTTCCGGAAAAAGGCAGAAAATCCTTTCCAGGTTTTATAACCTGCTTCAGGGGAAAGTGTCAGGGGAAGGTCTGAGACCTTCCTGCTTCTGCCATTTTCTCAAATTCCTTCAGCTTAAAATGTGCCATAAGCCAAGATGCCATATTTTGCAGTGTGTCCTGAACACCATCATAAATATGATTTCATTATTTGAAATAAAAAAAACAAATTTCCTGGATTTTGTTAAATTGCTGATGTATGGTCAAGCGTGGTGGCTCACTCCTGTAATCCCAGCACTTTGGGATGCCAAGGAGGATGGATCATGTGGTCAAGAGTTAGAAGCCAGCCTGGCCAACATGGTGAAACCCCGTCTCTACTAAGAAAAAATAAAATAAAAATAGTGGACCGTGGTAGTGCATGCCTGTAATCCCAGCTACTGGGGAGGCTGAGCAGGATAATGGCTTGAGGGAAGGAATCTGGCAGAATTACGTGCGGAGAACTATTTTCTTTATTTCAGTATCTCAGCCTCAGAGTGTGAAAGTTTTCCTGAGCCTTGATATATCAGCATTGTGGTCCAAAGCAGGCTGAACGTGAGAAGGGTTTCCACTCTTGGTTCTCCACTTTCTCCTTACTATCAAGCTAACCAAAGATGATAGGTGTGCCCTATCATCTTGCACTACACCTAGAGAGGCAGCAAAACCCAAGAGAGGAATAGATCTAGACCAGATTTCTCAACCTGGCTGTGACTGACATTTTGAAATGAACAATCTTTTGTTATGATGAGACTATTCTATACATTGTAAGTTGTTTAGCAGCAATTCTGGCCCTTACCTAATAAATTTCAGTTTCACCTTCCATCCCCGTTGTGACAACCACAAATATATCAAGATATTACCAAATGTCTCTTAAATAGGAGTGCTGTGGCAAAAGCACCCTTAGTTGAGAACCACATATGACAAGATAGATCAGTCCTTGACAAGTCCCAATACAAACTTCCTTTGTCCACGCTGCTGGGTATTAAGGCCTGGTTCAATGTCTCTCAAAAATGCTTGAAGGCCAATTTAAGTTTATAACTTCCCAGGTGAGCAAACCTATAAAGTAGGTCAGCTCTCAATATGTCTTCAAGATGTGCCTGTTATATTTATCCTGCCCAGGAAGTCATTAGCTTTAAGACTGACCAACAAAGCATTTTTTCCCTACTGACTGAAGACAGACTACTAAGGACTAAACACTTTTTTTTTTTAAGAGAATTTATTCACATTGCCATATGAACTCTAGGGAGCTTAATACATACAATTTTAGCTAAGAGTTTTTGAAAATATTGTCTTGGAATTGGTTGTCCTATCCATTATTTTCCTTGGTTTTAAAATTTACGCAGTCTCTACCACCAGAGCATATTAAAGGTGATTACTAATAAAAACCACTACATGAAATAGCCACATAAACTAAAAAATAAAAAGAGATAAGAATTTGTATGGAAGAAATAGAAAATTATTTATGCCACAGACTATAAGTTAGCACTGCTCACCTGAGTTTCCTGGAAGGTAGGGTAAAATAAAAATGAGACATTAAAATGTTATCATCTCATAATAAAATCATTTTTATAGTGATCCAGGAAGGCTAAAGGGAGAAATGGATTTTGGCTTGGTAAGACTTTTGGAATCTTTATAATCACGTTGTTGTCTACTCTGAAACAATAGGTTTACCTGTGCAACCTCATCTTTATTGCTATTAAAAAATAAAGACAAGGATAAGCTGCTCTCTCATTTATTGACATACATGTAATATTTTTATTTTCTGAAAAAGTCATTAACACACTGATTTATTTAGCTCTATTTTGTTCATAATTAAATTGTATGGGTTTTATGAATAGGAAATATGTGCATGGTAAACGTGTTCAAAAGACCTAATTGTGTAAAAAGTTAAAAATAAGTGAACTTTCCCTTCCTAAATCACTTCCCAGTTTCCTTTCCCAGAGGCGATCATTGTTATCAGCTGAAGTTTCTTTCCAGAGGTATTTTATGCATAAACAAATACACACACACACACACACACACACACACACACACACAACTTTACACACATGGCATTGCCCTATATATAAAATCCTAACAAATGAAAACGCAATTGGATTTTTAAGGTAAAAATTAACTTTGATTTATAAGCCAGATTTTAAATATGACTCACATTTGACCATTTAACCCCTGCTTCTGGGACACATTAATCTTGGGCATACAAAATAGGGACATATTCTGAGTCATGTCCCTTGTTTTGCTGGTTTTCGCCAGCCTGAATTTCTGTGCCTCTAGCTCCCTTTAAGTCTCTTCCGCTTACCTTTTGTAGTCCGTATGTGGTGTCCTGCCTGTGTGGACAAACAAGTCTCAGCTTACCCCAGCCACCAAGAGTCTGCACACTTCAGTCACTCCCACTGAAGTTGGGTGAAGCATTTGGACATTTCCTCTGTTGCTCACAAATTAGTTTCTGCTCTTTCTTACCCTACCTTCCTGGTAAAGACCTGTGTTGCTGCCAGATATGGTTCTTCTCGCTGCTCTACTGGGTCATGACTGGAGAAACCACGTGCATTGTGTTCTCTGCAAAACAGAAGATGCTGATTCACCTTTTGACTTCTCACAGGCTCACTCTGCTAACCACCCAGGCTCCCTCCAGATTTAGTCACATTTAGTCAGCCACTTGGCAACAGCATTTGGAGGTTTCATTTTTTACTGGACATTTATGAACAGTCCTATGTATCTCAGCATTTTGGTTGGGCTCCTTTTTGCAGAAGGTAGACATATTTTATAGCGATTGTTGTACAGACAGCCTCAGGACGTTTTCGCTTTCATGGTAATCTAATGTGATATTTTTCACTGTTATTTATCTATGCAGAACTTTCAAAATTGTATCCTTCTGGTGAAATGCTAGCTAAGATCATGAGTTATGACTACATCTAGCAATATTAAACTGAGCATACAAGCTTACATTTTAAGAAGTTTTCTATTAAAGTAATAGGAAAATATTCTGGTGATTTTAGTTGGATTCTTTCTTCATTTGGTTGGTAGTAAATCAGTATGTTTACTTCCCCTAAATGTATCCTTTTAGATTTTTGCCTTCAAAGTTTAGCCATGTTGATGCATGCTTGTAATCTCAGCTACTTGGAGGCTGAGATATGAGAATTGCCTGAACCCTGGAGGTGGAAGTTGCAGTGAGCCCAGGTTGTGCCACTGCACTCCAGCCTGGGTGACAGAAGAAGACTGTCTTAAACAAACTCTTATTCTAGTAGATAACCCTTCATTTGTTCTCCTTTTATGTTATAATATCTCTATCTAGTTTTGATGCAGATTCCTTTCTTATTTTGGCTCATTTTCTAATGGGGCCAAAAGAGCTGTCAGGATAAGCTCTTTGCTGACGAATAGCATGAGAAGGAAATATCTCTCTAAATACTTTCTTACCCCATCAAATATGAGCAGAGGTATACACTATCATCAGCTCAGTGCTTTGAGCATTTTAGGTGAAATGGAAATAAGCTTGGACTAGAGTGAGTCATTCTTTCGTAAGCTTTTGTTTTCAATTACCTTAGATTTTTACATCTAGTGTTCCAAACTCAGCTGTTGTGACACTGACTGTCCTCTTTACTCCTTCTGTGTGCAGCCTTGCTCTTGTGAATATGTATTGACTCCTTGTTTGACCTCATTTTCAGCCACTCGGCAGTGTGGAATAAGGCTCACAGATTTTTTCATAGCTCATTCAGATAATTCAACTTCTCATCTCAAATAAGTGATTAATCATCGTCAACTATTTAGGGTTACAGGCATTTCAGTGTGTACCATCCAGTTTGGTGCCTACTCGCATACATAGATGTAGATGCAGATATAGACAAAGGCAGACACACAGACACAGATACAGGCATACAGACATGGACGTAGATATAACAGAGATATAGTTTAGGCCTCGTTACACAAATTGGCCCCAATATCACTGTTCTTGGCAGCCATTTATAGATTAAGGCCTGCAATCAAGTTGGTTTTTCATGCCATCAATGAAGATAGAAAATTCTTATTTGATCTTCATGCATTTTGTAGTTTTGATAGGTCTCAGAGAAGAAAGTGACATAGAAATGCCTTTATTCTCTCAGTCCCAGCAATAAGATTCTTTTACATATATTAAAAAGTTAAAACTAAATTGTTGAAGAAAAACACATTTTACCTAAAATTTCTTTTTGAATATTTATGGTACTATTTTTTTTCTTCTAAAAATATGGAACGCTTCACAAATTTGCGTGTCATCCTTGCACAGGGGACATGCTAATCTTCTCTGTATCATTCCAATTTTAGTATATGTGCTGCCGAAGCAAGCACTATGGTACTCTTATTGACATAAAGGACAGTATGGTTTAGAAAATTATTTAAAAGACTAAGTGGACATCTGGAAGGCCTTAATTCTCATAAACTCTGTGCAGTAAGTGATGGGTTTTTAACATTCCAAATGAGCCTACAGTGCCAGGAAACTACTGATACCTGATGCATTTATATTAAAGGCATTTTTCTTTAACTACCATTCTTAAGAAAATTCCATCTTCGACTATATATACTTATTCTAGGTGATCTAAGAAGCAGAATAAAAGGATATCAGAGATTTTTACTGCCTGTTCACTAAAGGAAAAAAAAATGTATTTTGAATATGCTTACCTGGTCTTTTATCTCTGTGCAGTCAAATACACAGGAAACTTCTCCCTAGGGTGCATGGCAAGAGCTAACCCAGGGCCAAGGACTTAGTGAGCTCCATGAGAAAACTGCAGATATTTCTATTTCAAGTAATTTATTTTGAGATTGAATTTAAAGATATGAATGCAAAGACCACAAGCTGCTATTTTAATTCGATGTATTTGGACCACTTACTGTTAACTCTTTATTTGTTGGAGACATTAACTTATTTTCTTTGATGTTATTGGTTTTATTAGAATAAGGTACATTTCCATGATGTATCCTAATAAGACATCAGCAGAAAGACAAATTTTAAAATGACCAGTTTGCTGTAGGTTTAATACATATTTGTTACTATAATCCCTTTTCTTTCCACAAATGAGACAGCAAATATCCGTCTACTCATTCTCCCTCCACTGTAGTATGGCACACTATATAATATTGCATTAATACTTTCATGCTTTTAAATTAAGGTTTGAGTTAATAAGTCCCATTTTTAATATCTTGCATAAACATTAAAAAACCATTTGTGCTATAGTTTATGACTATCATCTTATAGATACAAAAATTAAAGTTCAAAAGTATTACACAACTCCTCAAACATTACATTGCTAACAAGTGGCAGCATCATATTTCTAAATAAACAAACTGACAGCTGTAACATAAAGAGGTCTTCTACATTTTGAGAATTGTAGCCAGAAGAACTAGTGTAGGAGAATAAAGCTCAATTTAACGCACATCTTTTGAAAGACTTTGAAAATAGGCACAAGAACTAGCTAGTTATCCCATTTTCCACTCTTAATGGGTAGTTGCTAGTGGTATTGACAATAAAATTCTATTTTAAACGTGTACAATAATTTACTGTTTAAGATAATTGACTATAAAGCAAGAATGTTACATTGAGTTATAGGAACCAAATCCTTAGGGAAAAGAAACCATCTTTATAATCCTGCCATTGTTTGTAACTAGAGATGGACCACACTTCTCATAGAACATGTAACTAATATTTTACTCAATGTTTATATTAAATTTTGCTTATGTCCCATGGCTAATTTTATAATATATGAAGGTAATTATATCAGCCATATAGTAATTTATAGCCTTTTAGAATGGAATAAGTCTTCTTGTTCAGTACAATTTAAGCATAAGACTAGTTAAATTTTAGCAGTTAGTGTGTGGAAGCAGAAATAAAAGGGGAAAGAATAGCAAATAGGAAGATTTCTTTCCAATCGTCAAACTCTTAAAGGAGTCTAACGCAGTCCTGACTTTAAGGAGTCTTAAAATCACAAAACATTAACTGTGTAGAATGATAATGAATTCATATTTGCTGCCACACTTTTATTACATAACTATAGATATTAACTGAAATGGAAAGCTATAGCTTCTATTTCAGTTGTTGAATATGTTCTCCTTCTGACTGAATCATTCCCTCAACTAGATATATTTGGGTTTATTGTTCTCAAAAGCCTGTTTTTGCTGCTTCATTTATAGTTGACCATTACCTCTTAGGAATGGCATTAAAAATTCAAGATACTAAAGTAATTAAGTGATCTACTTGAAAGTGTGTATTCACTCTTGTTTTGATAGTTCTTTAAATTAATTTATGGACTAAATGTACTGTGTGTTCGTTATCTAACTCTGCATAACATATTACCCCAAAATCTAGCAGTTTAAGTTGATGCAGATTTATTATTTCACATTTGGGTCCAAAATCTAGGGGTGGCTTATCTGGGTCCTCTGATTCTGGAAATCTCACAGGGCTGCGGTCATCTTGAGGCTCTTCTGTGAAGGGCCCCTATCATTGGCAGGACTCAGTCTCTCCTGAGCTGTTGCCTAGAGACCTTTCTTACTTCCTTATTTTTTGAGCTTTCCCAGAGAGCATCTTACAACATATCAGCTAGCTAAGGAAGGGGCATAAAAGAGAGTACCAGCAAGAGACAATGCTAGCAAGATGGAAGTCACAGAATTTTGTAACCTAGTCAGAGAAGTGATATCCATCACTTTTGACCTACCCTGTGTTACAAGTGACTCACATGGTCCAGTTCATACTCAAGGAGAAGGGATTTCACAGCAATATGAATACTGCTAAGTGGGTGAGGATTATCATGAGTCGGTTTATAAAGTTGTCTACCCGAGAATATATGTTTATAAATTTCAGGAAAACAGAATGTGATTTCATTGTTAGTAACTTACCTCTTCCTTAATTTTAGACTATAAAACAAACATATAGTGTCAGTCTCTACCACCAAAAAGCAACAGAAAATATTTCCTTATTTTAAAATGATAGACATGTTTTACCACAGTGAAAGCAAGAAGACAAGAACTGAAAAGAAAGGCAAAGTTTCAGTCTTGTGGTTCCCATAGAAGAACAAGTCTCTGAAGTTTGTTATTTAAGAATCATATATGCAATTTTATAATCATTGAGGTTTTCTGTTTACTTGTTATGTTATATGAGATTTTTGGATTGATTTAGTTTTATCCATCACATAATTATAAGACCAGGTCAATATTTAGCATATTATAAATAATGCATGGGGCAAAAGTAGAGATGAATTATTTGCTCTTACCTTAATCAAAGATTGGATTCTCTGATATTGTTCAAAAATACAGCTGAATTCTTGGCTCTGTAATTTTTTTAAGATTTTACTATTCCATAAATTGATTTATTTGAACTTTTCCTGGGGATAAAATTAAGAGAGTAAAGATCTACATGGATATTATTCTCTTTCTCAAACACTTTCCAATGTAATTTATATTAATACATGTTCTTCTTCCAAATATTTTTAGGATTTTGACAACTCTTCACCAGCTCTGTTGCTGCTACCCTGTTTTATGATAGCACAGCCTCTCCTATAGATTATCGAAATTGCCTTCTCATTTTTC